CAAGGGGAGTCGAGTCAGGGGAAAGCAAACCTGCCTTTGGGAGATGATGGAAAAATCCAAGAGAGGGAAAGATGGATGGCGATGCATGGACTCTGCCCGTCTCTCCAGCTTCTGGGTGAACTGAAGGACACACACCTCCAGCAGCTTTCTTCCACCCCACTGTACCACAGAGTGTGCTGCGGAAGAACAAAGTGCCTGATGCTCCCCTCAGCACCTCTAACATGGCCCCGTCTTGAAGCAGGTTAGCTGAGTCACCTTCCAGCAGCATCTATTATGTGCACACTGCTTCATCTGTGGTAGATTCCCAACAAGCTCTGACTGGGTAAGACTTCCTGGAGGAGCGAATCCACAGAGATTGGGACAAATGGGTGGAACAAGGCTGGCAACAAGGAATGAAAATTTCCCCGTTGGTACTACCATGATGATAGCATAGTAAAGTCCAAGTTAATGGAGACTAAGCTAGAGCAGGGCACCGGAGCTGGAGACAGTTCTTTTTCTGAGTGAAATTGCTCTTCATTTCAAACCACTGAGTTTTTCCTCAAAGACCATTGTGAAGATCTGTTCTCCAAACTTCCAGCGGCTTGGTGCAGCCTGCTTCAACTTTCTGAACAATGGGATCAGTGTCAGCATGGAATATCATTATTAGCAAAGACTCTTACAGTCCAGTCTGTCAGTACTGGCTTATTGTTGTCTAGAGCCCTGAAGATGGTGCCGCCCTCTACTACCAGCAAGGATCCAGTACTGAGATCAAGAAAACATCAAATGTTAGTAACTGATTGATTCAGAAATTCAGAAATGCCAGGAGGAGCAGGAGCTCTCAAATCTAGAACTGCTAAAGTCACCATGTACTCAGCTGTTTGCTTGTTTGTTAGATATCATGAAAAAGTCTGAGGTAAATATTCTCTATGGTGGTATCAAGAGCCAGGCTCTGACTAGAGAAGCTTCTTGGAGTTCCCTGAACCAAGGGCTTCCATGGAGTCAAGATGGCTGCCCAGGCTTTAGAAGCAGTCTTACCAAGAAACAGTATAATTTCCTTTCTTCTAATATTGGGGGTGTGGTTCTATTGTACATTATATGTCAGGAAGTGACATGATGTGACTTCGGATGTCACACTTGAAATGAGGAGTCCAAGGGCAAGTGAGAAGGCCATCTGTAGGTGTTGAGACAAGAGCCCAGCTCAGGAGCCAGCCGAGGACTGTGTCGCCAAGTAGCTGGTCTTACATGGATTTCCTCAAGCGTGTAGCTGAAGAAGGCTCCCAGAAAGTTCCAACTGTAGTCACTGTTAACTACCTGGCCTCCATCTGTAACCACATGAGAGACTCCAGGGAGAAATGGCCTAGCTAAGGCCAATCAGTGCTGAGAATCAGAAGACGTAACCATTAGCCAGTGACTTAAACAGATCGCTGCAGACTGGCCGATGCATAAAATTTAGTCAAAGCCTGTGTCTAAGTTCAGCTTGATACAGTTTTAAAGAGTTGTGTAACAAAGCAAAACAAAGAAAAATATCAACAAAGGCCACGTTATTCCCTCAAAGTCTAAAATACTTGTTCTCTTGCCCTTACCAGAACAAGTTTGCCTAGCACTGACTTAAACCACTCAGTATCCAGATGGTTTCCTGTGCACACAGCTATGTGCAGCATGAGGAGCTTCTGGGACATGAGGAAAGGCATCTGGAAAAATGAAAGACTTTGCAGCACCATGGAAGCCTCTGAAAAGCTCCATCTACTGTTATCTGCAAGTCGGCTTAGGGGTAAAGCTAGCCTATCCTAGTTTGCTTTCACGAGGCCATGAATATGGGAACCATAAAGATAATAGAGGAACCAACAACTGATTTTCACAAACACATCTGCTTAGTCAAACAAAAGCGACAATAATACATTTAGCAAATATGAGGCATTTGTCTTTCTGAGATGAGTTACTTCACTCAGTATATATTTTAAAAAGTTTCATCCATTTCCCTGAAATTTCCAAAATTTCTTTCTTTATAGCTACATAAAATTCACATATGTGTCCTACATTTCATTATCCATTCATCAGTTGATGGACATCTGGGATGATTTCATTTTCTGGCTATTGTGAGCAGAGCTATAGTGAACAATGACATACCAAGTGTTTCTGTAGTAGGACAGAGTCCTTAGGATATGTGCCCGGAGTGTAAGGTTTGGCCATATAGTAGACCCAATTCTAGTTTTTTTAGGCACCTCCAGAGTGGCTGTACTAGTTTGTGTTTCTACCAACAGTGCACAAGGGTATCCATTTCCCACACCTGGCACTGGTTGTCATTTGTATTCCTGATGATGGCCATTTTAATGGGGTAAAATGAAATCTGAATTTTTCTAGTGGTTAAGGGTATTGAGCACTTTCAAGCATTTCCAAGCCATTTGTGGTTCTTTTGAAAGCCATTTGTAGTTACGTAGCCCAGTTTTTAATTGGGATTTTTTCTTTGAGTTTACTAAACACTGTTTAGTTGTTTTTATATTCTAGTTAGCAATCCTCTATCAATTGCATAGCTGGCTAATATTTTTCCTATTCTGTAAGCTATTTCTTCACTTGATTAACAGTTTATTTTGCTGTACAGAAGCCTTTTAGTCTTGTGAGATCCTGTTTGTTGCTTGTTGGTCTTATTTCCTGTGTTACTAGAGTCCTATTCAGAAAATTGTTAACTAAATTTGTGTGTTGAAGCACTACCCCTACTTTTTTCTTTATCAGTTTCAAGGTATCCGGTTTTATTTTGAGGTCTCTGGTCCATTTGGAATTGAGTTTTATGCACGGTAAGATACAGGCATCTAGTGTCATTCTTCTATGTGTTGACATACAGATTTTTCACCACTGTTTGTTGAAAATGCTCTTTTTTCGAGTGTATATTTTCAGCTTCTTTATTATATATAAAAAATAGGTAGGTACAGTTACCTGAACTTATTACATGGGTCCTCTGTTCTATTCCACGTGTCTATGTGTCTATTTTTTTTAAGCCAATGTCATGTTATTTTTAATGCTTTAGTTTTGTGTGCTTATCTTGGAATATGTTAGGAATCCAAGAAACTAGAAAGGGGACAATCATGGGGAGGTTATCTTAAGTAGGAGATATAGGACTTAATAAGTTAGATGGGGATGGAGGAGGTGTATTCTGGGGGTAGAAAGCTTCAAGCCGGGAGAATGATGGGAGGCAGGAGCAATGACAGAATGGCAAGGACTAAACAAAATGAAACAGGTAACCAACTTTCCAGTAACCCAGTTAAAAAATTTACAAAAATTCTGAAGACAAATACTTTGCAAAGACTAGGAAATGAAGGTCTAGAAATAACGGATAACTAATTAAACAAAAACCCCAGTGCCAACTGTGGAATACATCCATAGGAGTCATTGGTCATGGAGGTTCCAAACCCCAACAGCATTACAGGTTCTAGTCATTGCTCTTGGTTCATTCTTGAGAAGTAGTTGGTAAGACACCACATATCTGAGCTGCAAGATGTAAAGAAATCAAGATGGAAATGGGCTAGAAGATACTTCACTGTTGGGTGGATCTTATGGTCCCAGATGCTACTATGAAATTCGGTGTGGGGGTAAAGACATTGATTGCTTAGCACACTCTGAACTCTATGAACTATAATACCAAGCTTCTAGGTAAGATGGACCCAGTTGGGTACTAGTAATGTGACTATTATATGGATAATCAACCTCTCTCTAATTGGATTTTGGGCTTGCTCTGCAAGAGGGAATCCATACCTAATAAAATTACATTGGTCCAAAACCTATGACTGAAGAAGTCTTAGACCCTAGGTGTGTGTGTGTGGAGGGAGGTATAGGGAATTTAGCATGACCGCTTAGCTGAATTGACATAACTGCAAATCATCTCCTAAGTATAGACATATGTTTATACCCAGAAACAAAGGCTACTCTCAGCCTTAAGCTGACAATCTGTTCCTTGCAGTGAACAGAAATAAAGGCAAAGGCCTATAACTCTACAAGACAATAAAGAATAGTTGAGGGCTCAGCTCTAGGCATGACGTTTACAATGCCCCCTTAAGGCTCAGGGACCACTTTGAAAGAGGGGGTGGAAAGAATGTAAGAACTGGATGGAAGAGAGGGGCTGCAAATGCCATCTTCACAGTGGCTGTGCATACTGGCATTGGGTCCCCAGAAGTCAAGTCCTCCTCATAGTCAGCTAAGGAGGGGGGAAAGGATCCATGGGTCCCAACCACATACTGCAGATTTATTGGCAACCGACAGATTCTGTGTGAAGGGAGGCATGGTATCAACTGTGTACCCACCAAGTTCATTTCAGGTAATCGATTCTAAACTCAGGTCCATACAGATAGTCCTGAATAAATTCTGTGAGACACCAAGCAAAGCCAAAACTAATAAAGAAGCAAAAGAGGTTGATATGAAGGAGCAGGGTAGAGGTGGAAAAGTGAGGAAGGGAGAGGAATGGAGGGGTTCACTAAATACCAAAATGAATAGCGCACATGCATGAAAGTGAAAGAGCAAAATTTACTAGCAAAACAAAAACTCTACCAAACGAGCAATGTATAAGGCATTTATCATGGATTGAATTCTGGATTAAACTCAATTTTGAAATACCCATTAATAATTTTAATAACATAGTCACTGCTTACTAAGTCTTTACTAATAGATGATTTTCTAAATCTCTCTTGTGTGTAGTATCTCAGGTAAGCCTCGGTTACCTCTTCTATTTTACAGGTGAGAAAATGAAGGCACAGAAGATGCTCTAACCTACCCCAGACAACACAGGCCATTAAGTGTGGCACAGGATTGGATTCCAGCCTGATTCCCAGCCTGAAATTAGCCTCTGCACTGGACCTCTGCTCTCAAGGAGATACTAATTCAAGTCTTGGTTTACGGAACTGCAACACTTTGTTTTTAGTAAAGCTATAAAAGCGGCTCCATCACATTGTTTATCTAGCTGAATTAGGCAGAAATATCTGGAAAGAATGGGGACAATGAGGGGATTAGGCAGGAAAGGCACCTTGTCTACTCACCAGAATGGGAAAATAATGAATCGGCTGATGAAGAACACGACAGAGAAGATGAGAAACAGGGTATTGCAGGTCTGCTTCCATCCAGCATAAGAAAACATCTTAGCAGACTGAAAATGAAGAGAGAAACTTCTGTCAGTTAAATGTTCATGGCATGAATTTTAACAAGAATTGCATGAGGACTTGCCTGAAAGCAACCTGGGGAAGGTCTTGGGTTGTGGATGGGGACATAGATTAAATGAGATTAGCCATAATGATAACCCTCAAAGGTAGAGGAAAGCTCTGTGTCCCTATGTTTGAAAATTTTTATAATATAATATCTTAAAAAAGATATGATAAATCACTACAACAAGGACCATGCCTTTCTGAAGCACTAGAAGTCAGCACTAGAAGTCCTACCATCATTTTGTATCTCCCTTTCTTTGGAACAGGAGTGAAATGTGACTTGTCTAGAGTGCTGAAGTCAACGCGGTGTTAAGGATGCTCTGTTATACTCTCCCATGAAGCCCAAGGTTGAGGATGAAGTGGAAGGTGAGGTACAGCTAGGATTCCCTGGCTTTGAGGGTTTATAGCCTTGGTTCACTTTTTGTGCACTCCCCACTCCTTCTCTTTGTTTTCTATGTGTACTTGAGATGTAGTGTCTCAGCTTCTTACACCTGCTGTCTTCTCCACTATGTGGATATGTAACCATCAGAACCATACACCAAAATGAACTTCTTCTTAACCACTCTTGGCCATAGTACTTTATCATGCCAATAGAGACATCACTAATACAAGGGAGCATGGCTTAGACTTTAAAGATTCAGAAATTACATCCTGGAGGCTCAAGACCCTCCTACAACAAGAAGAGCAACATGTGTGCCCTCCAGGAGTATCTGAATAGCGTTTTCCATGCTTTCCAAAACTTTCCAAGGATGATGACAGTAACATCTTGTGGGGTTATAGAGGGTAGCATAGGGATAGCTTTGGTAACTAACATAGAGAGCCAATGGACCTCAAGTCGGGGGACTGGATAAGAGGCAAAGCCCAGAGTCTTAGGATGACTAGAATGGAGGACACAGCTGGCTTCAAGGTCAGAAGCCAGGCCAAGGTGGGAAGTTGGATATGTGCACAGGTATCAGAATCTCTGTGAGCCCACTCTGGAGGGCAAAATGGTACTGTTGGGCAGAAATACCTTCAACACCTTCTGGACTATGTAATGATGAAATGTCAAATGATAGCCCTGCATAATATTTTTATGTATGGAGTATACATAAAAATGTTGGGTTCTGGCTCTGAATTTGAACATAGAAAGTAACAGAGGATCAGAAATATGCCAATAGAAGGCAATAAATAGAGTAGGTATAAGAAAGTATTGTAGGTGCTGTAGTTTCTTGGTGTTGCAAAGCAGAGCTAACAGGTACACTGCCTATCTTGGCGGCTTCCAAAGATTAGCAGCCTCTAACTCAGGGAAAGTCTACAAGAGCAAATGTGGTGCCAGGCAGGTCTGGGTTCAATTAGAACTTGATTGAGAAAGCAAACATGTGAGAACTATTCAAAGAAGCCATTGGTCGGTCATACATCCTTGGGTGAACACCAAAAAGAGGCCCCTGCCGTCACCATTCAGTGTTGTCTCTACCCCTAGATGTTGATGGACAGCACTAGCCTTGTGTCTGAGCCTTGAGTTAGCTCATGACTTGTGGATCAAGAATGATTCATGACTAGTAACAACATGAGGCTGAGCTTGTGTGTTAACCATGAAAGGATCTCTAAGTCTGACATGACATTCTTTTTCCTGTCTTTTACCTAAAGACTTGGAGAATTTTCAAACAGTAATGAGCTAAATATTATAATATGCCATGAGGGGTTGATATGACGTCTCATGTTACAGCTGGGGCTAGGAAACAAAACAATAAGTCATTTGCCCACATCTCTTAGGGGATTATGCTGCGGCAATGAGAAGGTGGAGGGAAGGCTGGGAAAACTAAGCTTCTGGATCCAGCTTCAGCATCTAGCTTTCCCTTAAAAAGCAATGGTGGTGTTTTAATGCTGGACATACACCAAAGCTGAGCAAATGAGGGTTCAGAAGCAAGACAAGCATCTGCAATTCTCAACTCAGGCCTAATGGAGCCTTCCTTTTCAGCCAAGGTCACAGGGATTAGATCAGAGAAAGGGGTGCTTGGAGCAGAGGTGGGTGTGTTCAGAAAGCAGTGTGACACAACCCTGGCCCAGTCCTGCCCTGCTGAACTGCACTGAGGCATGTCATAACCTTACCCACCACTCTGCTGAGAAGAGTTTACAAATATGTCACAGAGGCCAGTTGCCTTGACATGACTTCAAACCACTTCTGGTCATTTCTTAAATAGGGTTGGGCAAACTACCTTCCAGTTCTTGGGCTAAAGCTGGTCAGGCCAAAGAATGGTTTTCATATTTTTAAAAGTGTATAAAAACAGAGAAGAAAATAAAGAGTACATGGTATAAATCACATGAAGCCCACAAAATTAGATTTACTTTCTGGCCCTTTATCAAAAGCTGGCTGAACCCCAATCTAGAAGAATGAAATTCTATTACATTTAATTTCTTCCATATCAACCTATATCCAATTATTAGCACTCCAAGGAGAAAACCCAAGTGTAAAGTAGTTTAGCATTGTTTTAATTGGGTTCGTCATAAGTGAGTACACTAGAGAGAGTCAGCAACTGGTCCTGGGAAATGCTGTTGTAATTATAGCAGGAGACCTGACAGAAATGGGGCGACTCAATCACAGCCCAGCACCAGCAGGCCTGATGCTAACAGAGAGATGGAGAAGTAGCCCTGCCGTGCCTTTGTTCCTTGTATCTTGTGTAATGTAGAAATAGGAAGACTTTTGTCTTAATGTTCCCTGCTTCCAGACACACTCTAAGCCTTCTTTCTCCCTTAGAAAACGAATGCTGTTTTACAAACATCAGTTGGCATTCCCTAAAGCAAGAGGGATTGGAGGTATTCAACGGGCAGTCAGCCACTGGCTCAAGTAGGAGAGGTAGCTGTCCAACTTTGGGATCCAGAAAGCAAAATGTTCAAGGTTTGACTTGGTTTCTCATTTGAGTATCTCATATCACTTCCCGAATGGGCAGCGGCATGCGGCTGCCATGGACACAATCCCACAGACCAGCCTCTGGCTTGCACAGTGCAGAAACTGCAAACAGACACTAAGAGGCTTCATGTCAAAGGGTCTGGGAGCCCGTGCCTTTTTAGATTTCTGCTGTTTTCATGACAGAGGGCTCTGCCAAATCACTCACAGATAATTCTTTCTGTGAGCACTTAGTGAAAAGCAGGACATAGCACTGTTATTATTTTTTAAATGGCAAACATTTACCTCCAGCCAAATGTCAGACACATCGTGCACAAGCATCACGAGGGTCCCACTGCGGATATAATTAGCACACCAGGAGAAGCTCATCAGACTAATGGCAGCCAGGTGGTGGATGACATGAGCAAGGAAATCCTACATAATGAGAGAAAATGGAAGCCATTAAGCAAAAGCAGTTATTTCCCAGTGACTGGAAGAGAGAATAATAATGATACCAGTAACTTACATCTTCATGTTTTGACATTTAGTATTGTATGTATGTATGTATGTATGTATGTATGTATGTATCCATGCATGCATGTATTTTTCTCCTTCTTAAAACAGTCCTTATGGGGAAGCCAGGGCAAATATTACCCTTATTGATGAAGTAATTTAACTTTGAAACAGCACTGAACACTTGTCATCTAACTGTAACTTCTGATATTCTTTCCATGGTGCTACACACTGTATTCTTAAATGCTATGAGTTTTCTTTGAAAATATCTGTGGGCTGCATCACCCTTCAACTCAAAGAGCATTTAATAAGGCAGTTCCATTTAACCTAATATTTAGCTGATCTTAACTTTATTAAACAAACATGCTTGCATGCTACCATTCTGCACTGGGTTAGTGTATGAAGACCTGAGGCACCGGTAGTCTTTTTGATTTGCTTTGCTGAGGAAATCTTGTGACTGCACTAGGGTCTAAAATGATAGCTGAGCCAGTGATGCAGTAAACTAGACAGCCCTGAAATGTATCACTTTGTGACATTAAGAATACCTGTGACTTGGTTTCCCTGCAAATAAAGCAAATCTATGTGTGCTTAAAACAAGATTCCTAAGGAATTAATGGATGGGTAGTCATTCCTAAGTCTTTGAAAACATTAGAAAGGATTGTACAAAGTGCTTTGTCATCAAGTCACAGATGCAGAGTAGAGTTAAAGTCATTATACTAACACGGTTTTCCTGTGCATTAGGGGACACTGCCCTCCAAAGCCAAAGGAAACAGAGAATTATTTTCTTATTGAGCAGGAACACAGTTGTTTCTCTATAGGCATTTATCAGGACCTCAAGACATGAGCATAATTTGAATTAGTCTATGCACTATCAAAAACAAAAATAGCCAATGACTAGAGCTAACTATACACATAACGCCATTTATAGGTAGAATTAGAGGCAAAGGAATGAAGAAGTTTGAAGAAATGGATAAACATAGTTTTGGAAACACAGCAGCACTTACCTTCCTCTTGATATCATAACCCAGGCTAAACAGCAGTGACCAATAAAAACTCATCTCCAAAATGTAGTACCAGTACTGGGATGGCAGCAGAGGCTGAGGAAGAGGGAAACAGTCATCCAAATGTGATCTCACAAGCAACGTGTTTATATTTTCTGAAACCCATTTGTAGTCCACAAAATTACAGGAAGTTGCAATGACTGAAACGCCCCAAAGGAATCACAGACGAAATATCGAGGTGTTTAATTCTTTTAAGACTAGACCAAATGAAATGTTTTGACAAAAAAGTTGTAAAAAATGCTATAGATGTGACTGCCTCATTTTAGCTTAATGTGAGTTATCATAGATATGCAATTGTTTAAGGACTCTAAAATTGTCTTCTGAATAAAAGTAATTTAATTTCTACTGCTATAGTTTTTCTTAGTACTGTTATAGTAGGGAATTGCTTGAGACATTGAGGCAATTTGAGACTTGAGACATGTTATCTAATGCACCCATTAGATGTGACCTTTTAATATCTATGGCCTTACATGTTCTCCTTCCGCAATGACTATAGATCTAATCTTGGTACTTGGCCAAGAAGATAGCAGTCAGTGTAATACAAGCATAGACTTCATGATCACTGTTTAAGAAAGCTGTGCAATCATTCCAAAGAGGCCACAAAAAGATGCCAGCTGATAAAATTAGGAGTAAGGCCACCAACTAACTTGGAATGTATAAATGATCTCAGTTGATACCACATGGAATAGATCTGCTTCCTTTAGCCTAGGCCCAAGTACCAACCCAAATCATGAGTAACCAATAGTTGGCAAGTTATGACACTTGACTTGAGGATTGTTGTTATGTACCAAGGAATAAGGGATGCTCTTAAGAAGAGGAAATAGGCTAGCATTAATAGGACTAGATTATGGTCTGCGTGATGAACAGAACTTCTCTTTTTAATGCTTTCTTGTTCACTTTTCCTGTTGTTTCATTTAATTTCATTTTTATTATTTACTTTATGTGTATGGATGTTTTGCCTGCATGAACCACACGTGTGTCTGGTTACTGCAGAGGTCAGAAGAGGACACTGCATTCCCTGGAACTAGAGATGTAGACCCTTGTATGCCACCATATGGATGGTAAGACTCAAACCCTTGGTCGTCTTAGAAGAGCAGCTGGCACTCTGAACCATTGAGCCATCATTCCAGCCCACTTCCTGATTTTTGTTTGTTTGGCTGGTTATGCTAACATGCTAGAAAGACTAATTTTAGCCAGTTACTTTGGAAATGGTGGCAGAGGACTAAAAGTTCAAGGATGACCTATACATGTGCTGAGTTTAAGGCCAACAAGTAGACAACAAACAAAGAAATAAAGACAATGAACAAAGAAACAAAAAACCCGACATGGAGATCTGGGGTGGTGTCTTAACCCGGTGCTGAAGTTAGGGAGCGGCTACGATAGGGAGGACGTACCTGCTTGGGATAGTCATGCCAAACCTCCCAGAGGTCATAAGCCCATGGTTTCTGAAAAAAGAGGAGGCAAGAGAGAGAACACAGCGTCAGTCAAAAGCTGGTTTCAGCAGGAAACACAGCTCTTTGTGGTGGTATTTCCTATCACACAGACCCACTGTGTGTTTCCTGTCGCACAGACCCACGTGTAGTGTTCACTATTATACTATCTGCTCTCTTGTGCAGATCCTGCTTGTTCTGTTGCATGCATCTCTCCCTCATGGGCACTGATTCACACTCCTACACAACACTGTGAATTCACTACTGACAGTGCATCTGGGGTCAATAATAAGACTGTCTTGTTGAAGGAACATTTTGAACAAATAAATATACTAAGAAAATAATTTCTGGATCAGTTATTATATCTGTACCTTGAGTTGGGTTTGTAGCAAATGTCTATAATCTCAGCACTTGGGATGCTGAGATAGGGAGATTACAAGTTTGAGGCTGGCATGAGCTTTAGAGTGAGTTCTAGCCCAGCCTCAGATACCTATTGAGATCCTGTCTCAAAAAAAAGACAAAAATAAGCAAGCACATAAAAAAATAAATAAGTGAAAAGGTAAAAAGACCTTGAGACAATAAAATACCAGGAGGCAAGCTGGGCAATGGTGGTGCACGCCTTTAATCCCAACACTTGGGAGGCAGAGGCAGGTGGATCTCTGTGAGTTTGAGGTCAGCTTGGTCTACAGAGCGAGTTCCAGGACAGGCCCCAAAGTTACACAGAGAAATCTTGTCTCAAAAAACAAAAACAAAACACCCAAAATCTACCAGGAGGCTTATTTTGGGCCCTGTTCATGCTAGACAAGGGTTCTGCCACTGAGCTACACCCATAGCCTGAGAAATATGTTGATTCTATAGAGACACTTCTCAAGCTGGCTAACTTAGGAGTATTATGTTATAAAAGAACTGTGAATGAAGTTCCTTGGGGAAAGACAATTTGCTTTGAGTCATCTGTATGGCTGGCTGACTGACTAGAACTTCAATGGGAAGGTTGGAATGTTGTGGGTCAGAACCTAATTTCTATTTATCTTGGGACATAGTTAGCCCCATTAATGGCCACTTATTTTATGGCTATTAGGCAAATCTTTTTGAATATACAGAGAGACCCCTAGCTTCTACCAACCAAAGGTTCAAAGGGTTGCCTTATGGCACTTTGGCATACAGCTGCGGATCCCTGCCTTGCTCTAACCTGCTCATCTTGTGTCTCCACCAACATACTTGAAAAGTATTTACATTATGACTTGCTTTGTTCTGTTACTATAAAACCTCAGGAAACCATCACTACATTCGAATATAGAATTTGTGGTAACTTGTATCTGTGTTCCTGGGTCATGGTCACTTTTACTTGGTTCCAGAATAAACTTTTTCTCATCCTTTTGAGGTGAGAACTTTGCATTAATAGAATTTATAGGCAAAAATATTTTAAATTAAAGATGAATTCCAAAGATATGAAAAGGGCAACTTACATCATAAAGAAATGCAACTCCAGCCACAGTTATCATTAAGTAAAATGTAAATCGCCAGCTGTCAAAAGAAAGAAAAGGCTTCACTCTTCTGTAACAGTGATTGACATGTGAGGGGAAAGGGAATCTGGACAAGCTTTGAAGAACATCTGTCCTAGAGTATAAATACAAGCTCAAGCCCTAGCTGTCATATCCTAAGATCCACATGGAAGCACAGACACCTACACAGTGGGAAGAGCAATGCTGGACACATGGTAATACCTGATCTCAAATTACACCCCAGAACCACAACTGTAAAAGCATTATGATAGTCGCTCAAGAACAGACATGTAGACAAGCAGAATATGAGAGTGCCACAGATAAAGACAACTCCTTTTTGGCAAAGATGTCAGAAATACACATTAGAAAAAAGACAGCCCCAGAATAAATGATACTGAGGAAGCAGGATATGGTTTATATTTCTCACCCTACATACAAATAAACTCAAAATTATCAAAGATATTAATGAGACCCAAAACTTTAAGACTTTTAGAGGTAAATATATGTAAAAAAAAAGCCTTCAAGTTATAAATGTAGGCAAGGACTTTCCTGGGTGGACTCTAGTAGCTCAGACCATTAATAAAAACAAGAATCAATAAATGAGACAATGTGAAATTAGAGAGTTTCTGTACAGCAAAGAAACAATTAACGTAGGTGAAAGACACCTTAGGAAATGCAAACTATGCACCAGACAGAGTGACTATACAGATGACATAAAGAACTATAAAAATACACAAAACAAGCTAGGTGGTAGTGGCACACACCTTTAATCCCAGCACTAGGGAGGCAGAGTTCAAGGCCACCCTGGTCTACAAAGCTACACCAAAAAAACCTTGTCTGGAAAAAACAATAAACAAACAAACAAAATAAGCCATACAATCAAGAAATGAATCAACAAGCTGAATACACAGTTCTCAAAACAAATAAAATAAAAATAAAGAGAGAAAGATGGAAAAGAAAATAAATTCCTTCCCATGAATCAGGCCTCAAGTCCAGAAAGCTATTGGTTACCCTCCAATTCATGGGAGGGAATTCACTCCTGCTCCTATAAGTCTAGTCAAAAGTCTTCTGCTGGATGAGGGGCATAGGCCCTAGGGAGAAATCTACTACTGCTGCTTTGATGAATGGACATGTTGTGAAATGCCTTCCAAATATTTATGTTTAAACCTACAGCTGGTCAACATTTCTGTGTGGATGGAGGAGAGGCTCGTGAGCCCCGCCCCTAACAGAAGAGCAATTTGCTGAAGATGGCTTCTGGAATAGTCATTTATCTTCAGAGGTACGGGCCATGGAAGTTTACCCAAGCTCTGATGCCCCCATACACATGTGGGCAGTACTCATTGCACTCAGGGGCTCATTGCAAGAAAGAAGAATGCACGAAGTAGGAGGGAGACGTGTTGGGAGCGCCGTGGGAAAGGGTGGGAGGAAGAGCTGAGGGTGTATGATCAAACTTTGGATATATGCATGCTATTCTGAGGGAAGTGTACCAGGATGCATTCTCACACCCACTGTCCCTACAACCTCAAGGACAGCAGACAGGGGAGAAAGTCTTGAGAGTTTCTAACTTAGCCCTAGAAAGGAGAACACCAGTTAAGACATGTTTGTGGACGTTCTGGGCTTCGGGCTAAGTGATGTCTGCATAGGCATTTGAGTCTACCCTAGAATGTGGGTATCTGGTCCTCCTAGAAGAGGAGAGGGAAGAAAGGGCAGTGAAAGAATAACATCTTAGCTGGGAGGTGATAGCACACACCTTAACCCAGCACTCGGGAGGCAGATGCAGGCGGATCTCTGTGAGTTCAAGCTCAGCCTCACAGTGTGAGTTTCAGGGCAGCCTCCAAAGCTACAGAGAAACCTAGGGCTTTCTCAGCAGCCGTTCACTGTCCGCTTTGCACTAACTGCATAAGATTGCACTTTGTGCTCCCATGTGTTACCTCCCCCGTGTCGGTGTGCTGGCTGCCATGACGCACCCTTGATATGACAGCGCTGCACAAGCTGCCCATCCTTACCAAGACTCCTGGAATTTCTTCATCCTGCAAGGCCTGTCTTGATTCCGCCGACTCCTAAACCATCTCTCAACCTGGCGTTCTGCCAAGTTACACTTCTTTGCCAGTCCATAAACATCAGTCTGAAAAAAGATGAAAAGAATGAAGGTCAACAAGGCAGGGAGTTTCATCAGGGAAAGGCAGGACATGGCGGAATGAGGAGAGCCTCCACAGGCACACCCTGACATAGGAGTGCATGCTAATGCATGTGTATGTGCACGCGCACAAACACATGCAACGTAACTGTACAAACTAAGGCAAAGAACAGGGTCAGATGTCAAGCAGTCGGGGGACAGTGTGTACTAGAGCAGACAGGCACAAGACTGTGGGCCAGGGAATTTACCTCTACTGCTTATGAAATCACATTTGCACACACAGATCCCCAAGCCAAAGCCAAGCCAACAGCAAACAGAGGATATGTTCCGAGTTCTGAGAAAGACCAACCTTCTACACATTAGCAGCAATTCACATGTTTGGACTGTATATATGAGCTCACAATGATTTATTTAGGGCCTCCTAGGAGCTGGGTATAGTAGCAGAGTTTAAAATGTCAATCAAACATGATTTCCTACAGAGACACAGAAGCTTTGTCTGTGACTTGCTAGGACTTGTGCAAGACGTGAAAATGGTAGCCAGGTGCCAACCAGACCTGAGCTAGTGGGCTTTCTGTTACTCCATTCAGTCTTTCTGGTAGTCACAGAAGGTAATTCAAGAAAAACCCCACTGGGTATTGGTTATCTGCTCCCACAATCAACCTGATACACAGCCTATTTCAAAAGAATCCAAACTCTTTCCAACCATTAAAATAATGACTATAAAGCATAGTAATGATGATTGCTTCTCCTCAGGGAAGCAGAAGTTTTACAGGCTATGACATAAAATAGGAAACAACAAAGATGATGAATTAGTGCCCAAATTTCAAGGTCTGCTAGAGCCGGAAAAGAAACATGAATGGTCAAGAGGACCAGTCCATTTCGCAGAGAGATTTTAACAGGCATATTCTGTATATTAGACCCAGAGTAACTAATGCTCTACACTTCCACAGGAACATGCTCCATAACAATATTTTGAAATGTCATTGATCTCTTGAACATTCATTCTCTAATATAACATAACTTCCTCTTAATTCTATTATTAAAAAAAAAACAAATTGCCTAAAGCTGTCAGCTTCCTGCCCAAAACATAAGCTGCAGCTGACAGACAGAGGAAAAATGCATGGTGCGGCAGATCCCACCCCAAAGGGCCATCCTCACCCAAGCCCTAACATTTCCAGAGAGGAAATATAGTTCTAGGATTTTGATGTGAAACCACTTTTTAAGTTATCAATGAGAGCCTTACAGTAAATTTAAGCTAACTGCAAATGAGTACTCTGGGGGTCAAATGAAGTCTGTTTGTGGACCAAAGTAGACAGATAGACTCTGCTATATCATCTTGTATGGATCACAAAGTCACCCAGAGACCAGAACTACAGTGCACAGTCACCAGAGTCACATGGGCAGGAGAATGACTGCGGTTCTGTATCTCTACTGAGTGGCAGGCCCTTCACTAACCTGAAGAGAAGGGACAAGAGCACAGAACACACCAGCATTACTGGTTCCCAGAAATCAGCCCCTTTACCATCCTTTTGTAGGTCAGGGACACTGTTACTGTTGGCTGTTCTGCTTTGTTTCTTTGAGGAGACTGAATGAGCAGCTGTTTGCTGGTATCTACTTCTACCAGGCATCATACTAGAATATGAATGTCGAAATCAGTCAGCCTTTTATGCCTGCCCTAAAATTCAGCAAAGAATGATAACAGAGCAGAAGTGTGGTGGTATATGGAAAGGACAGGGTATGGTGGACCTTATCTCATGAATTTGGAAATCACACTGTGGTAAGCCCTGAAATATGCTGGAGAAGATGGAGAGGGACCTCATATGTGGTCATCTAGGGGTGACAGTAGGGTGCTCATGGAAGGCTTGAGGGTCAGAAAGCAACCCCCACAGGAGGACACAGCTACAAAGTACAGATGAGGCTGGTCACTTCAGGGCAGACCATGTCCAGAATGGATGTGGTGGGTTACAGTCTGTTTGCATTTAAGACCTCACTCTTATAAGGTGTAATAATGAATGAGCAGGAGGGAGGCTGAATGTAGACATCATATCTGTTCACATGCCGCCATTCTGGACTAGATTTCTGCTTTCCACGGTAAGAGCCTCACACCCCAGGCTGAATACGATGGCAGAATGACACTCAAACACAGAAGGCACCAGGTATGTACTCCCTGGATGGAAGAAGAAAAGGATGTTCCAGGGATCCAGGCAACACAGTGGTGGCAAGGATAGGAAGCTGAGAACCAAAGACCTGAGCCTGCTGCCCTGAGTCAGGGAGCTCTGAGCACTGCACTCTGGACTGTGGAAACATGGCACTGTATAAAAGCATCTGCTACCTGCCTCATAGGAGTGACTTAGGGTCACCAGATGAGCATGTGCTATACAAATAACCCAGCAACGCCAAAGCTGGAGACATTTATATCTACCACAGAAAATGACTGTGGGTTGAAAATCATGTACTAAGTTAAAAAAATACACACTTCCTTACTTCTAAAATAACCTAAAAGCCTATTGAGTCTCCCCAGCAGGATGTAATTCAAATTCGGTTACTTGGTTCATCTTCTGTCACAGGCCTATTCTGAGTAGCCAGAGCACTGTATTCTATGTTCTTACAGTGAAAGCACTTTTGGTCTTCCTTTGCCATTTAAACATTTTTACTCAACCAAACACTCAAAGAGCCACTCCTTACTGGTGGAGCAGGCACAGCTTTAGCTGTTAGAGCTTCTGCAGTGAGCAAAGCAAACAAAGTCTTGCCTTCTTTCAGGAACTTTCCCAGATCTGAAACCAATCCAGTTTTGTTATCATTGTATAGCCTGTACAAACAGCTGCTTGGTACATGCATCTAGAAGATAGCAACTGTATGTGGCTGCAAAGTGACTTTTTTCTAGTTTAAGAATACAGAGGTGCCTAGCTGGAAGCCCATCTTGGCAATACTGGCCTCAAATACTTAGATCTTTTTGACAGAGGAGCCTTACATACAAAAAGCTTCAAGACACGTTCTCTTCACATGTGAAACTAGCACCTAAAATGCACAGAGAAGAGTTCAAGTTGCTATGGGATTGGAAATGGGCACAATTAAGAAGCAAGTGCTATTCTCTGGGGGCTAATACACATTGAAAAGACATCTTTTAAAATAGTCCATAGAACTCTGTATGTTACAGACACAAAACTGATGGAATAGATCTCAAATTCTAGTCTTTGGTCTTCTGTGTGCCAAGCATCATACAAGAGGGGTGAATCAAGGAGTCCAAGACTGATACTGAATACACTGCATGCAATTCATCCTATGGCTTCTGGGCTGCACGTTCTCCAGAAAGCTATGAATGGGGCCCTTCATATCTGTAGATGACAGTGTCACATCACAAGCTAGACACCCTGGGCCACTCTGAAATGTTGCCATTTTTATTAGTGCAAGCTACAGCTGGAAAAGCAGCCTCGGGTTTAGGTGCTCAATTGTTTGAATAAATCCTGGTGTCATCTACAGGTATGACTGTCCTGTCATTTGAGGATTAGCAGATAATTGTAGTGGTTATATTCATATCTTGATTATATACAAAAAAAATTAGTTCATCCAGAAACTTGTTTTAAACTTCAGCTATACATGAAGAAATAGTTATCAGTATGGTGTTGACCAAAGCCCATGACAGTCTCATGATATTAGTTTGTTTCCACATCTGAATCACTAGTCAGGCATGACTTTGCCTTCCTGAGTTATAGTTTATCTTCTTAAGTTCTGGAACCTTTAGGAATGGGTATTTTTCTTGCTACCAGGATCAGCTACACAAATACATGTCCTTTTGTGAGCCAGAAGCACTGAGAATCAAGAAACCTTCCCATAGTCTCCATGGTTTAGTAGCTGAAGCTCACCAATATTGTGGGATGATGCATAATGCCCTTTCTCTTATTTGGTAGACATGCTGGGAGATATCCATGTCAAGCAGGGCCTCACTGTTTGTGGAGCTGAAACAAGCACAGCTCCAACTGTGTGTGTGTTTGCTTTTAAAATGAATTTCCCCATGCTGTGGATGAAGTCCCTGGGGTGGGGTTGAAAGAGACTGGGGGAGGATGGACTGGGATCCTGCTTTTGTCCAGCTGCTTCCTAGCCACAGGGCTGCCTTCCTCTTGCTGTTCATTTCCTCAACAGTCATGAACATCACCTAGTCTAGTTATCTTCCAGTTTTCTTTTTAACTGTCACATGACTATTTTCTTTCCATAGCAAGCAAGCTACTTTGTATTGTGAAAGAATTGTGATGCTCATAAAAATTCTATTTCTGGAGAGAAATCAGGGCTTCTGCATGTCTCTCTCTGGGTATGTTGGATAAAGCGAGAGCAAGTGTGAAAAGTGACTTCATGGATACTTTATGATGTATTTTGATAGGGTCACAACACCTAGCTTAAATTGTTGTCTTTATCATGGTGTTGATTGCTAGTGTGTGATACTACACCCGAAAACAATACGTTAACTATTAATGCCAGTGACTTTAGAATACATATTTATATTCTTCTAACACTTGAGGACTTACAGAATCTGTCAGCAGAGCAAAGAAATGTATCTAACAAATCAAATCCTTTGATGGTCAAGTAGAAGCTATTTTTTTTGTAAGGATGAAGTAATTAACCCATCAAGAAAGCAGGTCCTTATGTCTATAAGCAAAGAATTTTTACTTACATGTGATGGTTGACTTGTGGAATGCTTGAAAAAATTCTCTAAGATGGCATTTGGCTTAATTTTATGCACTGTCTTTTGAATGCCAAATGCATTTGCTAGAGGTGTAGCAACAAACCTAAAAAATATGAGAAGATTTGAGAAGTCAGAAGTTCATGACTGCACCAGAAAACCCAGGCTGTACCGTTGGGTGTGGAGGGAAAGTTCAGGCATTTGCTTGCACTGCTCCAATTTGACACTGAATGTGCCCAGTGGATGATTTACATTGAAAAGTTTAGTTCACAGGGTGGTACTGTTAGGAGTTGTGGTAAACCATCAAGAGGCGGGCCATAGTGGGAAGCCCCGAGGTCACTGGTCTTCCAAGGGGATCATCAGACCTCAGTCTCTCCATTTGCTTTCTGCCTCCGGAGATGAGCAGTCTGCCCCACCTCATGCTCCTGCTAAGCTATGACACCTGACTACAGCCAAAATGCTAAGGTTATCAAACTGGAACCTACATTTGCTTTATAAACTAATTGCTTTGGGGTATTTTGTTACAGCAATGGAAATCTGACTAAAACACATTGTCAATGGAGCTACTTACAGTCAATCTCTGCCCTTCAAAAGTTACAAAGACAAAGCTTGGCATGGTGTTAATGACTATACCCCAGCACTTGGGAGGGTGAAGGAGAAAGATAACTGTAAGTTTGAGGTCAGCCTGGGTTACACAATGAGTTCCAGTGTAGCTTGAGCTACAGAGTCTCAAAAGACAGACAAACAAACAAAATGATAGCAACAAAACTTACCAAATCTAAGTCCAAAGAGAGTAAATTTTCAGACCCATGCACATCACAAGCAATACTTTAAGAATACATGATAAACACACAGTTTAAAATTCATTTCATTGTGAATCCAAATAAATTTATGTGCAAGATTTAGGAATAGGATGAACTGCTGTATTTAGAATTTCACTTTAAAACCACCAAAGGTTAAATTAAGTGTTCACTGCTTTCTAAGAAACTGAAAATTTGCTTTCCAAAGTAGCTGTACCATTTCCTATTCCTGTAAATTGCATGTCATGCTTCCAGTTTCCTCAAGTCCCCCAGGTGCGTGGCTCTGTCAGTCTCAGAAGTCACACTGGGTGAGTAGCTGCTATTATTCACTTCCCACCAGAATTTATTTTCTAATCTCCCGGTTTCTTTCTCTTGCTCATTTCCAGCTTTCCTTCATGTGTATGGTTGCCGGCCCCTCACATTCACTGACATCTGAGTTTGGGGCCTGGCACATGGCATGACATGGGGCGTGTCCTCTGTGTACATGAGAAGACCATGGACTTGTTTTTGTTGGATGGTGCATCCTAGAGAGGTGTGTTGCTAAGTCTGATGGTTTACGTTTAAACTTATTTTTTTCCACTTCCTGCCTAGTTATTCTAGCCTCTATAGAAAGTCCTCAGCTATTAGGATGGGGCAGGGTAGAGAACCCGCTAGCATGCACCAGGCCCTGCACTGACAAACGAAAACTACAAAAATCTATTACTGTTGAGTTGCCTATTTCTCCCTTTTATAATGTCAGTTCTGACTCATGTACTGGGATTCTATTGCTGTACACATCCTTGTTGATAATATTATATCTTTTAAAAGCATCACTCATACTAACCGTTTTAGGATAGATGCAGGTCAGTTTGTCTGAGAGCAGTGTAGCCACCCCAGCTCTCTCTGCTGCTGCCTTGGTGGGTAGCACTTCTGACCTTTTCCTTTCAACCTACAAGCATCGCTGAATCTGAAGTATGTTTCTTGTGTGCCCTATGTAGGTGGAGCATGTGTTTCTGTCACTTCTTCCGGCCATACTTTTTAATTATAGCATTTAATTCATTTACATTCAATTACTAATTAGAAAGGATTTCTACTTGCCACTTGGCTACTTGTTTTGTGTGTGTGTGTGTATGTGATTCTTTGTTTCATTAATTTATTACTATCCTCTTTCATTTAAATATTTTATAATATTCCATTTAAATCCTCCCATCTTTTACTATTTTTAAAATTATTTCCTCATTGTTTATTCTGGGATTATAGTATACATCTTAATTTATAACATCCTGATTCAAATTAGCAACAAATTACTTTCAATAGGATACAAAAGCTCCATTCTTTCCCCCTTTGTAGTATCATACAAATCATGTCTTTATATATTATATTATAATCAACACATATTTATTAATATTATTTTATGCAAATAAAGACTAAAAAGTTTTACAAACAAAAATATAGTCATACTAACTTCCTAGATTTTTATTACCCATAAGTAGTATAACTTATCAAAACCCTTTACAGTCTCAATTTTTATTTCAGTCATACTTTTTTAAATTTTGCAACCTCTGGTTGATTGCCTTGATTTATAATTTATGTTATTTTATTGCTATTTGGTTTGCTATTGCCTTCCTGTTTTTTTCTGCAGCATGGTTGTCTCTAATTCTTTGAAAATGTTTCAAATAGCAAATTCTAAATTCTTTGTCCAGTGAGTCCAACACCTGGGCTTGCCCAAAGACACTGTCTTTGTGTATGTACCATAATTTCCCAAGTTTTCCATGCCTGCTCAGAGTTTGTTGCATGTTGGGTGGTGACTGTGACCTCAGGTCACCTCCCACCACAGTTTGTTCTGTTCTGTACGCCCGTTTGTGTGTTGAGTCACTTAAAGAACTCTGAGCTGTATGTCCTGTCCTGTGCCGTGTGTGGGTGCTGAAGTTACGGTATGTCTAGTTACTACCCAGCTAATGACCGGACAAAGGCTTCCTTCAACACCCAGAGCCAACAAGCCTCTCAGGCTGCTATGGCCTGTCTTGTGGAGTGAGACAGCACCCACTCGCAGCCTGGCAGCATGACTCCTCCTTAGTGCTCACTGTCTTGTTTACAGAGTGCATCAGGGTCATGTGGAGGTGAGAGCTTAGGGATTTCTGGAGTCTCTCCTGGACCTGAACAAACTGTTAACGTCTAACTGGCCTTCAAGATTTCCAAGAGCATGTCAGAGCTTTTCATGGCCTCACCCTTCCAGACGTCTAAAGTCTCTGCTTTTCATTTTGAGTTTTTTGCTTCGTCTAATTTTTGAAGCAATTATTATTTCCCCAGGCAGTCAATTACCATGAATTGCTTCTGATAACCATTCTCCCAGGGAAATACCCTTATAAAAAAGAGTCTGGGGTAAGCTATGAGGAAGGTCTGACACAAACAGCACACTATGGCTTGCATTTACTAGGCAGTCGGGTGATGGCAATTATCTATTAAGAATGAGAGCTTTGAAAGTCTTCCACCTCAGCCAGATACTGTGTCTTCATTGTACATGTGAGCTCTTGGTTTTGTTTTTAATTTATTGTTTTTGGTTTTGTTTCTGAGTCTCACTGTGTAGTCCTGTCTGGTCTGGAACTAGCTAAGCAGACTAGGCTGGCCCTAAACTCACAGAGATCCACCCACCTCTGCTTCCCAAGTGCTGGGATTAAAGCAGTGCACCTTGACACTGGTCTTAAGGTCTTAGCTGTCCAGAGATATCACAGAGGTAGAAAGGGCAGCTAAAGTCCCATAAAACTCGCTGTTCTTGCCAGGACTCAACTGTCTCTCTAGACAACACTCCCTGTGTTGTTATGAATCTGTGTATAATTGTAAAAAAATGCTGACTCTGAATATTTTTGCTAGTTTTTTTGGCTGTTTTTATGCAGAAAAAATTTCAGAGTCCCTTATGTATGACATTTTTGTTAATTTCCTGTGTGCACTCTGTGTGTGTGTGTGCACACACATGTGTACATATGCATGTGTGTGTGGTGTGTGTTCATGTGGGTGCATGCACGTGATTGTGGAGGCTAGAGAAGCATTTACTTTGTTTTTTGAGACAGGGTCTCCTATTGGCTTGGGACTTGCTTATTAGGCCCGGTTGGCTGGCCAGCAAGCCCCAGGAGTCTGCCAGTCTTTGCCTCCCCAGTCTGGGATGATAAGCATGTGCCACCATACCACCACATGTGGCATGCTTAGGATTGAACTCGCATTCTCATGCCTAAGCAGAACCACTGTACTCGCTGACCTGTCTCCCCAGCCTTCTGCACTGTGGTTTTTAACTTGTATTAGTCCAATGGTTGATGATATTGATTAGCTTTTCATGTGCTTAGTTTTTATTTGTATATTTTTTTACTCAAACCTTTTGCCTTTTTTAAAAATGCACTTATTTATTTACTAGTGAGTCATACAGTTTATCTTATGCTCTGAATTTAAATTCTTTGCAAGATACACAGTTTACACACATTTTCTCCCAGTCTGTTGCTTATCCTTTAATTTCATTTATGTCTTCAAAATAATTATTATGGATTTTTCTACATATAAAATAGTTCATTTTTTCATATATATAACTCAGTGACTTTCCATTTCTCCTCAAACATACCCAAGCAGTTATTAACCTATTTTCCATCTTTCTGTCTTAGCCTTTTCTGGATATTGACTAAGTGGAACTGGACAGTATGCAATTATTCAGATCCAGCTGCTTTCACCGAGCATAATGCTCTGAGGCTCCTTTATGTCTTAGCATGTGACAGCAAGTCTGCTCCTTTCTTTTGTTTAGTGACAGCCTTTGCTGTAGCACATACAGTGTCATTTAAAAGCAAACATCTTAGACCTTTCCCAAAGGAAATGAAAGCACATGTTCAGCCATGTTCCACATTCATATGTTCAGGGTTTTTATTCACAGTGACCTAACACCCTAAGCAGCATACATCCGTATCAACTAGTTGAAATATAAATATTTGTATGATGTATAAATATGTTCAAAGACCAGTCAGCAATAGGGAAACCTTGATACCTTGATACATATGCGCCATACATGAAAAAAATCGCAAATGGTTGTTAAATAAAGGAAGTGACACAAAAAGGTTACTATAATTCCAACTATAAATAATTCTATAAAATATAAAGCTATGATCATAGAGAGCAAACAGAGATTTCCAAAGACAGTAAGTAGAAAAGCATAGCTTGCACTGTCCAGGCTGATAGACATTATATCACAGTCATGGCGATGGTAGTGTGACTATTTCATCAAACTTCTAACAAACTGAATGAAATTAAAACCTCAATAAGGCCAGGTGTTGGTGGCACACGCCTTTAATCCCAGCACTTGAGAGGCAGAGGCAAGTGGATCTCTGTGAGTTCAAGGCCAGCCTGATCTATAGAGCAAGTTCCAGGACAGCCTCCAAAACAATACAGGGAAACCCTGTCTCAAAAAACAAAAAACAAAACAAACAAAAAAACCAAACAAAAACAAAAACCTCAATAAGCTTGAGTTTTGAAAATGCTAGTGTATAAAGCTAGATATGTGGTCCAAGCTGAAGTCCCCAACTACCTGGAAGCCTAAGTGGGTGAATCACTGGAGCTATGTCTTCAACACTCAACTGGACAACAGAGAGACCCCGCCTCCAAGGGTAGCTAAAGTAAGAAAGAAAAGATTCAAATGAGGGGCTGAGGAGATGGCCCACTGGATAAAGTGCGTGCCATGCCAAGTGTGAAGGCTTAAGTTTGGATCCTCAGAACCCACGTAAACGCCAAGTGAGCATGGTGCCTGCCTGCCTGCAATTCCAGTGCTCATAGTCTGAGGCATACCATGATTCAAAGCAACTGAGGAGGGAAGGGTTTATTTTTACCTTACAGGTAATAGTCTATATCACTGATGGATGTCAGGGCCAGAGCTCAAACAGGATATTGAAGCAAAGAAAGAGGCATACTGTTTGCTGGCTCCCTCCCAGGCTAGTACTTAGCTAGCTTCCCTGTATAGCCCAGTACCACCTGCCCAATTAACTACCAAGAAAATCCCCCAGACATGCCCACAAGTCATCCCCAAAGCAAGCTAGATAGAAAAGCTGTATACTCAAGTTACGAGTTCAAGTGAGAGACCCTGCCTCGATGAATAAGGTGGAAGACTGCTGTTGGCACATATTTGCATCCACACGTGCATCCACACACATACAAAGGTGCACACTCCCACACATATATACATGTAATGAGTTCAGTGTAGCTCAGTTAGTAGAGTGTGTGCCTAGCATGTCTCTAACATCAGCTCTTGGTAGGCAGAAACAGGAGGGTCATAAGTTTAAGGTAATCCTCAGCTAGATAAGACGTTCAAGGCCAGCCTGTGCTACATGAGCCCCAGTCTCTAAAACACCCTGAACAAAGAAACAGGAGGAGAGAAGGAAGAGAAGAAATAAATGAGTATATGTCCATCGTCTTGCTCCAGCTCTGAAAAAGACTGCAACTTCTGCCAGGTTTTGTCTATTCTAGTACTTGGGAAAGTTTCTGTGTTTAATTAAAATCTAGAAATTTAGTTATGGATGATCAGATGATCAGTCCTTTATTTCATTTTTGAAATACAGAAGTTAAGTAAAAGTTTCACAAAATAATGTGATTAAAAAGAGTAAGTATTCCAACTTCCAGATAGACTGATAAGTTCCTCTGGAGAAAGGCCATGAAGTTCAGAGACATAAAGAAAGCAACTGTGCACCAGATGACCAGAGAGCAAAGCAGACAGATCACAATCTGTTGATGTTTTTCAAGGAAGGAAGGGAGGGAAGGAGGGAGGGAGGGAGGGAGGGAGGGAAGGGAAGAAGAGAGGGAGGGAGGGAATTAGGTCTCAGTGTTGTATATTTATGCCACTAGTAATACATGTGCATAGCCTATGTTTTCTGGAGTCACATCAATACAGGAAGAGTACTAGCATCAAACGCTACACTCTAAGGTGACATTCATGTGAGGCTCTAGTGAATTAACAGTGGATCACCTTTTCTCAACTCCTGAAAAGTGGGATCTGATGAATTTCTCAGGACTCTATGGGATGGTGGGACAGGGGAGAAGTGGGGAGTCTCCTCTGTGTCCCGTGAGTGAAAGAAGGGACTCTGTGTTACAGCTCCCACCCCTGCTTTTGCCTTGGGCTTCAAGGGCTGCACTCTATACCATGTAAAACCGTCCATCTCACGTGTTGAATTTTGAGCAGATCTCTTTGAGATCCTACTCTACTTCAAACACATTAAAGAATGTGGAGAAATCAAACTAAACAGAAACTACTAGTCTTAACTCTAGCATGAACAATAAAAACTCAGAGACATATATTGGGATTCAAGCTGAAGATCAGAAAAGCAAAACAGCTAGTCACTAGCTCTTACCTTTACCTAAGACCGAAATGGGCAATCCTGCCTCCATGAATCCTCAAACTGCAGTGCTCTCCACCAAACCTCAGACTGCCCTAAGACTGCACTGAGTTCCTGCCCTATATTCCTCTCTAGTGCTGGAACTAAAGGTGTGTCATCCCAAGTGCTGGGATTAGAGACATGAGTTCTTATTTCTCATTTAGACTGATTCACTCTCATGTAGCCCAGGGTGGCCTTGAACTCACAGAGATCCATCTGCCTCTGTTTCCCAAATGCTGGCATTAAAGTTGTGGCCTCCACTGCCTGTCCTCTGTGGCTAACTAGTGGCTTAGTGTGTGTGTGGCTAACTAGTAACTTAGCTGTGCTCTCTGATCTTCATGTAAGCTTTATTTGTTAGATTACAAACAAAATATCACTACACTTAACCAAAATAAATGAATAGTCAGGCAGTATCAAATGTATAAGAACTGTTAAGGCAATCCCAAAGTTTTCACATTTGCAGTAAACTTTCTAAACTGTCTTCACATTGCCAGGAGATATTTGTTTACTCTTTTCCACTATCAGAATCATTGTACTGTGAGATTCAAATAATACCCATAAAACCAAAAAAAAAATACCCACTCAAGCTAACACCCTAGAACCTGATGTTATGGCATGTTTGTTTGAGTACCACAGAGAGCTTGAGGTCATTAACCTGTTTTTTCACCTGTGGACTACTTATGGTTTTTATACCTTGTAAACTGTAAGTGCTCATCAATTGTAAGGAATAGCCAATACTTTCTTTAGGGCATAAAGGATTTAATTTATAACAAATGATACAGAATCACAAGGAAAATATAAACTTCCATCATAATTAATGAAGTATGCTCTCTGCCACGTTGAATACTCTCTTTATCACACAGGAAGAAATACGTTTCTGTAATATTACAGACTAGAAGTAACTAAGGATGAGTTGTTGGGAGTTAACATAATAAGGAGCTACACTTAATCCCTTGAGGTAGCAACAATGGCCCTAGGAATTAAAAGAGGGGATTTCTTCCTCACTGTTGTTACCCAGGCAAGATATAGATACAGAGACTTAGTCATCCATAGCTGTGATGCTCTGGCAACCAAAAGAATATTCTTTGTCACTGCCCTGATCAGACTGGAAACAACAGCTGCTCACTGAAAAACAGAAAATCTGCAATGGGGATAAGTAAAGAACCTTGATGCCAAACTCAATGGTCATCAATATGATTCGAAACTAGTGAATAGTTTCAGAAAGTAAAGTTTCATTTGTTCATTTGGATGTTCAAGGGCAAATTTTATTTCCCTTATGCATTATTTGGAAAATCACACTATATCTGAAACAAGTGTGATTAACTGTTAAAGGGAAGGACAGGAGCTAGAGAGATGTCTCAATAGTTAAGAGTGCTTGCTGCTCTCCCACAGAACCTGAGTTCAGTTCCCAGCACCTACATAGTGCAGGTCATGGGTACCTATAATTCCAGCTCCAGGGGACCCAATGTAGGCACCAAGACACATGTGCTGTAAACATGGACACATAAATAAACATAAGCATTTTTAAGGGAAGGTAAAAGGTATCATAAGCAGGTGTACATAAGCAAAAAGAAGTATTTTTAAGGGAAGGACGTTTTCTAATTCACTCCAGTACAGTTTAGTGGTGGGCCAGGGTCCCTTCCCAAAAGCAACAGTGCATTTTTAACCAAGTGAAGCTACTGTTTGTACAAAAACCTTTTGGCAAGTACATGAGCTGGTCAAACAAACTCTCAAGACAAGGACCCTACAGATGGCTACAAACCCATAGTCTGTGTTACCTTTGATCTTAAACCACTTGATCTTTATCAGGCTGTCTTAACCTTGCCATTCAAACAGGTTTTTTGCTTGTTTCAGATGAACTTACATGCTCATAGCAGAGGTCACTACAGAAACTACACATGAACATTTGCTTCCTGTTGTTGGAACACTAATACAGTTTTAGTACAGGATTTGAAGACATATTGGCTATTTTCTCAGAAAGCAAATTATGTTGTTTTCTGATTTCGTTGTGCTTGGGAAGAAAGGACAGCTATACAACTTGAAATTAAGCTATGCTATGCAGGGGTATTTGGTTTGTTCCTTAATGAGACACTTTTGATATTTTTCAGGTAGTCATTTCTAGAATGATAGCTCATCTTCAGGAAATAGATCTTTCTAGCACTGTCTGTCCAGGAATTTGTAGTTCTACTTGTACAAATCAATGCAATGCAATGCAATTCACTGTTACATTCCCATATATGCCTATACTATGCACGCATCATGGCCATCTACCCTCACTCACCCTGTTTTGATCTTGTTTTATTTTTACTGTGAATTAGAGCACCCAATGGTATTCACGCCTCTAAGTCTTTAACTTGCAAATAGTGTTCATGTGCATTGTATTTCACAGGTTCCCCCAAACTCCAGCCTCTGAACAAGGGACTCATTAAGGACCAGATCTTAGACGTGGCCATGGTGTAGGCAGCAAAGAAGGGAATGGGAAGGGGATAAGCGATAAGTACCACTTACTTTTCAAAGAAGTATCTGACGATCATCAAGAGAAGGGCATATGGAATTGTCATGTACAAATGCGAAGCTTTAACAAAGATAAGCCCATCATGGTCTTCGAGATCTGACCACTTTATTGTCGGAGGAAGCCAGAATTTCTCCGACCAGAACCATTCTTTAAATGCCTGGAACATTCTACAAATGAAGGAAAGCACACGTTAGACTTGTCAAATCAACACTTAGAACTGCAATATAATATTAAGCGCTGTCCTTGAAAATACCTAAAGGAGGAATTTGAAATTAATGAAGAATTAATGAAGAAAGCGTTTTGGCTCGCATGGTCCTCTGCTGTGTTTAACAAGAAAAACTCATCCAGAGTCCCAGAAGTGCTTAGACTAAGGAATGGAAGATCGAAGCTTCACACATTCTTCTTCATATTTCAGGAAGCATCCACATGGATGTTGCACTATTTATTTTCCTCTTATATCACTCATGACATAAAAATTATTCAATAGGCTTTACAACTTTATAGTATCAAAAGTCAACCCTCTGAGAGCTTCAACGTATGTATGAAACTTCACTAGTACACTAAGACATTTCCTGGGAGATAAGAGACAAGAGTTCAAACGAGGTCATGTCAGTAATCTTTCTATTTTTATTTTTATTTAGTGGCAGTAGGAATGGAACTGAGAACTTCACTCTTATTAGTCAAGGGCTCTACAGTGAGATTTGTCCTCAAACTTCAATCATGTTAGCATGGACTCTACAGTGAGATACATCCTAAGCCCCCTTTTTACTATTAAAGCAAGTTTTTACTAAGTCACCTAGACTTAACTAGCCTTGTTCTCATTTTGTATTCCAGACAGGTCTTGAACCTATGATCCTCCTGCTTCGGTTTCCTAACAGCTAGGATTACTTGGAGCAAGGCTCCAAGTTAATGGTTATATTTATGGAGACTCTATTATCTGTGAAGCACTAATCTGGGTGCTGTGCACACAGCAGTTCATAGACAAGACTCTCATCTTGAGAACCAAATAGCCTTATAGGTAAGGTAAACCTGACTAAAACAAGTAACTTGGATACATATTTTTCAAGTACCATAAACATTGCCCGATTCCAATGTGTTAGTTTTTGTTTTATCTTATTCCTATATTATTATCCCTTAGAAGCCTGTTCTTCTTCTAGTAAGAGACAGAAAGGGAGTGGATCCAGACAAGAGGAGAGATGGGGAGGAACTGGGAGGGATATGGGGGGGCACACATTATTTGAATCTATTTTCAACAAAAGGAAAAAAGGAAGAAACCTAACTAGAAGAGGGGGGGAGAGCCTACAAGGTGATGGGAGGCAAGGATGGACACTGGACCCGGCAAGGAGAGGTCCTGGCAAGATGGTTGAGTGAACTGGGGAAGGAGGGAGAGTCAAAGAGGAAGCCAATCATCAAACAGTGCTGAAAAGCAACCCGGATTCTGTTGCTTCCCTTTGCTATTCCACCAACCAACCCAGAGACATCTATGACCACATCCCTCTCCATCAGCACGCAGGCAGCTTTGCAGCCCTGTACACCTGCTGGGCGACCTCTCACCCAACTCAAGTCTGAAATTACTATGGGTTCAACCCCAAATCGAGTGTCCCCCTCCCCGATCAGACGTTAACCTCAAACACCAGGCTGTTTCACGTGTGCTTTTGACAGCTGGCTACACATCTGGGGGCCCACAAAAACCCCTTTAAGCATGTTTAATTTGTGAGAGTGGCCCACCAGACTCAGGGAACAGGGCCTTGCACTGGTTTAGGAGAAGAGATGCATAGGGCAATACATGTGGGAAGAGCACTGAGCATCTGTGCTTTCCCCAGGTCCACCATCCTCCAGGAACCTCCACGTGCTGAGCTACCTGAAGCTCGTAGAACCTGACCTCTGTTCCTATTGAAACTTCACTGTGTAAGCACGATTAAGCCATTTGGCTGTTGGAGAAGAATTCAACCCTCAGCCCCTTGGCCCTCCCCAGAAGTTGAAGGGTATGACTGATGACACAAACCCTTGAATCATGCCTTGGTCTTCCCAGGCCCTGCCTAGTGCATCAACTACGAGTCAACTCATTAGCATATGTGAGCACACTGCCATTTCAGAGATCTCAACACTTTCCTGTTTGCCAGGAAGTGTGCACTTCATGGCAACACCAGCATGTTTTAACCTCGCCACTGAGGCGATGGCAATTTTGATCCTAGCATTTTGAAGCTGGGACTGCTTGGATTTTCTCTGTGAATATTTAGCCAGGGACATGAATCACACTGTCCTTAGATTTCACAGCCTTGTGCCTACTGTTAAGAGAAATGTCCTTCCAGAGGGACACTGGCCCAGTCAGAACCACACCTTCACAGCCATGCCCTTGGAGAAAAGTGACTTTGTTTATGGATTATCACTCCACTATGCTTTCTAACTTGAGCTGCCAAATCATGCAAGTATGGTCTAATATTTATTTCCACCAATACGTACACATTTTCTGTTGGGCTTGGGGGCTGCAAAGAAGAAAGGGATGAAGAAGCGATGCTAGTCTTCAAGGAGATTACAACCCAGTCAGGGTTAATGTGGTCTGAAGCAGGGAAGGGTAGTGACAATGGATAAAACAGCTGGGGTGAGGGGTGAGCAAATGTCAACAACTTATTTGGTAAGGTAACTGAAGAGTCAAGCTTGGCTGATCTGTCATCTGATAGCATTTCCTATAAAGGAAATCAAGTATAGAGAAAATTAAGAGAGAGACAGTGGGCTGAGGACACAGCTCACTGGTAGAGCACTTCTCTCTCTCTCTCTCTCTCACACACACACACACACACACACACAAGAGGCTCAAGCACTCCTCCCCCACCACCCAGGACACAAATCTACTAACCTTTCTACACCTAGGCTCAACTCAGAACAAGGATAAACATGGACATTTGAGTCCACCTCCCATTCTTATAGATTTTCGAGATCAACCCAGGCTAAAACCTTTTACCAGGCCTGAGCTCATCATCCAGATCGGAACTAGTCATGGATATAAAGACAACCATATCTCTTGAGAAGTTTGCCTTGGCAGATTTATGGTATCATTGGCTCTGACAGTAAGGGAGCAATGCAGTAAGTTAGGGTTTTTTTCCCTAATATTGTTTAATAATCACTACATAAAATAAGTTGCTAACTCCTAAAACACAACTCAAAGTAACACAGATTTTTCTGTCTTGGGAGAAATGCACATCTTCGAGCAGCTTATAAGTTACACAGGAGTCAATCCTTGCAGTGACTTCAGGGCTGCTGAAAACAATAGTAACTCTAATGTTCAGCAACACAAAAGAAAGGCAGCCAACAAAAGAAAAAACTTAATAGAAGACAGAAAGGGCACAGAGGAAAACAGACCCTGAAAAACGCAGTTCAGACTTAGAAATGAAACTAAATCAATCAATATTAAGCACTCTTTCCTTGGGTGTGGCTATCAAACGTCAATGACTGCAGATTCAGGGGTCTTAGAGCCCTTTGTTCATATCAAAGACAAGAAGAACTCAAAAAAAGCACAGATCTAAATGTAGGAACTGGAGTTACACAACTCTTAGAATAAGATTTTGGAGTGAATCTTGGTGACCCTGTCTCAAGCTAGGCCTTCAGAGATGGCACCCAAAATACATAAACAGCAAGAGAAAAAGATAGATCAGAATTACAGAATTACAAAACAGAGGGAAGTGTCTGAAAAAGGTGTGTCTAATAAGGGTGTCTTAATCGGGGTTTCTATTGCTGCAACATGATAACCACTATCAGATTAGAGACAGACAAAGCAAAGTGGAGGAAGGAAGAGGAGGAAAGGACCATGTTCCCCTGACAGCATGATGTTACTGTAACTGGACAAACACTAGCTGGCCTGTGCCCCTCAGTTATGCAGGGGAGTTCTTACTTCTTCGTGTAGTGTTTGAAGGAAATCTCTACTGCAGGCTCCAAACTGAACAATCCTTAGAGGAGCCACTGTAGATTCCAACTCTCAAAGCACTGGAAGTCATGGCTGCTGCAAGCAAACAAGTAAGACCGTGCATATGACACAAATATTTAGCCCTGAAAGACACTGTGACTGTTAATGTGCACGTGTGGACATACACACAACACAGTATACACACACAACATGACATATACACATATGCACACACACACACAACACGGCATACAGACACACAGCACAACACACACACACAACATGGCATATACATACACAACACAACAGACACACACAACACAGCATACACACACACAAAACAACACACACACACACAACATGGCACACACAGACACAACACAACATACACACACAACATGGCATATATACACACACTTGCACACACACAATACCAACAACAACAAAACACCACAACTGTTAACTCCTTGAGTTTATAGCTATTGGAAAACGTAGGAGAGGATAAAAAACAGTAGGTGGGGGGACCTCCCATACTTCCTGAAGAAAGGAAAACCAAAACCAAATAAAAAATAATTCAAAGCAATTTTCTCAGAACACATTTGCAATTACACTCACTTAAGGTCTCAAGGAATTTCAGTATAGTCTTAGAGATTTCAAGAGCCAAAATTACAGAATATATATGATGAAACTGTGGTACCACCTAAAGATGTCCTTGATGGATACTGTGATGTCCCCAAGTATGCATTCATTTCATCTCTTAGTCCCAAACTTTCATTCCCAGCCCAGGTTACCCGACCACGTGGCTGCAAGTCAGAGGACAGCTTAAAGTTGCTCTCATGAATCCCAAAACTTAACGTCCCACAAGCCAGCTACCACTTTCTGTAAGGGACATTCTATGAATCATTACTGATCACTTGACAACACACTGAAATGTCAGTTAGTACCTGGAGTCTGTGTAGGGTCAAGTTCTTTTCCAAGAGAGTGGTTCTCCAGTGCTCTTCTCTCAGGCTGTGTCAAAATGACCTCATAAAATGTCTGGCAATTACTCGGCTTCTTAGAAAGGCTTTGGCAGACTTCACATCTGCCTCTGTGTGGAAAGACTACCTGGGCGAGGCTCCACTCAAGTTCTATTGCCACAGTGACTCTAGTCTAGCAGGAGCCCCATTTCTCCAAGCTGAGGCTCCTGGAGCTAAGACTGCCTGTAGGATTTTCTTGGATGATGGGAGTTTTGCTTACTTCTCTGGTCACCCTGTGCCTGTCCTCCAC